TTATTCCTACCACTGCAGGCATTTTGTAGTGAGAAAATATTTAGATAGAAACTGGTACAAAAATGTTTGCTTCCATGGGAAACACTGTCATATTGTACCTGATTTCTCTCAGACATTAGAAAATCAATTCTTCCCCCAGGCAGTCCAAGTTCAATGTAAGTTTTTACTAATCGAAGATCTGCACTGTTACCTAGAAAAAGAAAAATTATATTTAAAGGATGGGACAAAGTGAGAGGTAAAAACTACATCATCATTCAATTTTATAGTATTTGGACACCAGTTTATGGCCTATGACAGTTATGAACAGACAATGCATTTTTAAATAGAGATTTTTCAACTTTCATGTCAAAGGTGACTTCCATTAGCTAGACAATGACACTCAAGTGTGCTTCTTAGGAGATTTTGGTCATATTGATGCTTTTCAACTAATAGTATATTTGTTTAACTAACTGTTAGCACATCAGTTTTGTGACTATTGGCTATAGTCAGCTGAGAATAACTTGCTAAATGCTCTTTACTATCAACATTCTAGCTCATTATTTAAAAATGATGAATGTATTTTATAGTTAGATTTAATCTTTTCACTTTCCTCTGGTGATAATGGTACCGACTGAGAGAAAGCAAAATCCAGCTAAATAATCTATAAGTTAATTATTACTTAAAATTTATCAATATAAAATCCTAATATAGCTATAAAATATAATCATTACCTCAAAAAATAAAGCTAGTAGATATTTAGTTATTATTCTTTTGGGTTTAATAGGAATATAAGAATGTCATTATCAAATCTTAAATTTTTGCTTTACCTTTCCACATTATATTATTTATTATTAAAATATATATATTTTAATGCATTTTATTGAAATATAATTTATGTACAATGAAATACACAAAACTAAAGTGACATGGGTCAATGAATTTTTTTTTTTTTGCAGTGTTTCCTCCCCTCCCTCCCACCCCTGGCAACCAACAAAGAGTTTCCTTCCATATATAAACCTTTCATTGACCCTCCACGACAACGAACTAATACTATATTTGTCCTTCTGTGATTGACTTATTTCACTCAGCATAATGTCCTCCAAGTTCATCCATATTAT